TGTTCTCTCTAATCGAGTTGAAAAAATCCAAAATAAAGCTATGAGAACAATCTTGTGTGCCAATAGAACAGCCTGTACGCAAGAAATGCGAAATCGTCTTGGCCTCTTAACTCTACACAGTAGACGACGATTTCTAAGGAATATTCTAGTTTTTAAAATTGTCAATAATATGGACATTCCTAAGTATCTTAACAATTATCTGGTCTTAAGAAGCTCATTAAGAGAAAAATCCCTCCCTCCGTGACCAAACTTTGATAGATATACCTAGAGTAAACACCTCACTAGGGCAAACTATGTTTAAAGTCGCTGCACCACGTGATTGGAACTTGGCTACCGAAATGTATCAGAGATATTAAAGTTCTCGGCAGCTTTAAAACCAATGCTTTTAAACATTTTTTAGAATTAGACAATTCTTCACATAGGTGTAGTTTGTAAATTTTACCGATTATTGTAATATTGTATATAAACGTAATATATATGTAAGTATTCCATAAGCTTTAATTAACTGAATGGGTCTCACAGTTTAAATAAAGATTATTATTATTATTATTATTATTAGAAACGGAAGTGGTTATTAGACAACGTCTGATCTAGGCAAAAAAATAAGTTCCCGTAAAGAACTTATTTAAATTGGTAAAATTGCAAAATTTGGTTACAAAATGTTGTAGCAAAATATGGAAAATATAGCCTTGCGAATTTTGCATATTTTGTATATGTTTGTATTACGTGCGGAAATTGTTATCATTTTTGAGTCGAAAATGGTAACAATTTCCGCAAGTAATACAAACATATACAAAATTTGCAAACTTTGCAAGGCTATATTTTCCAAGCTTTACGACATTTCGCAACCAAATTTTACCATTTTACCAATTTCATTATGTTCTTTTTAGCTGTGGTGTTTAATTCCCTTCTCTTTACTTAGATTAAACAGTTTAGTCTAACATACAAGTTAATTGTCCTTTCGCTGGCCTCAGCGGTGACAAAGGAATGGTTTTACTAACACTAACCGTATTCCAAACTCAAACTCTAACCCAAACCCTACTCGAAGTTTGTTTCTAAACCAATGTTTGAAGAAAAGGTTTTTGACGAAATGTCATCCTAAGGTCAGCAAAATAACCTTTGCCCTTTAAAACCTATAGAGGAAATTGAACGGACAGTCTGAGATTTGCCATTTAGACATCGATTTTTATCACTGACCAATTCAGCCTGAAATTTGGGTAAACAAGTCAAGCTACACTGATTGTATGAACTTAATTTAAAGCTACACTGATTGTAACTTAATATGACTTAATTTTGACTCTATTTGATAATATAAGAATCTGTTTTGAAATTCTAGCCCGAACAGGTTCTTATTTAAAGGGGGCTCTAAATAAAATATTTTAGCCTAACAGCTAGCTTCTTAAATTCTAGGTTCTTAGATGGGGGGTTTTACTGTATCAGGGTTTCTGTGACCACAGTAGGAATTTTGCATGGTAAATTCTAAGTTTTGAAGGATTTGTAAGAAATGTTTGAGGGACTGACTGACTCTTACAAATCCTTCAGAACTTAGAATGAGTTTACCGATGTAAAATTTCTACTGTGATGACAGAAACAAACCAGGCTTATATTAAGTGTACTTGTGCCTGATTTTTCTAGAGTGGATCGAGACACTAGAGTCTATAAAGACATGAAATATTCTGATCATGCAAAATGATCATTCTCATGCACTAGTATGTAAGAATCTATTCACCCTGAGCTTCTTATATACGCTGTCTTTTACTTTTGTGACAATTAGTTTATATCGAGTTAAAATTTCATCTTGTAACGAGCTTTGTAAAGATTGAGTCGCGATCTTTTTCATCAGCCGAAATACAACATTTTAGAACTGAAAATACGCGGAGTAATTATAACTAGATAATACTTATGATTTATATATTTGGATTTTACAAGTATAAACTATTATAAACTGGCCGTTGAGAAAGAACGTGACTCTATGTTTACGACCATGCATTTATAAATGCCGTCATCGGGTATAGTTGTTGAAACTACTTAAAATGTTGAAATATTATTTCGTGTGTTTCAAAAGCCAAAGGCCAAAGCTCTGAGCAAAAGACAAGAAATACAACAATATTAAACATATTACGTCAGTAATGGGCTAATGTGAAGAAGCATTAGCGTTTTTATTTATCTTCATACGCGAGTGCAATATTTTCCTTTGCTAAACATCCCTCTTCTTGGCACCGGCGTGTTATTCAAGCCACTCAAAGCGAAAGGCAAGCCGACATGAAAATTTGTGCCGAAATATGTGCTCGTCTGCTTCGTTTCTGTCATTATAAGGCAAAGCCCTGGCCTTTTATAAACATAATCTGTTTAAACGTAAGCGTTGGTGATTTCCTTTGCACGTGGGAGGTGGCTACTGGCTAGCACGCCAAAAATGCACATAGGGTATTTCCTCTATATATTGGCCCACACCCCTCCCCCTTCAGGCCTTCTAATAAACTCCCAGTCCAAAAGCACTGAAAAAATAAGCTCCCACGATTCTATTAAGAAGAGAATGTTTTGTATGTTACGTCAGACGCGCTCAAAACTAATGCGTATAATATACCACTTGAGGTTATGACTAAATTCAAAATTTTTATTTTTCGATACGTTTCTCAATCGGCAAACAAACTTAAAAAGTATGTTTAGTGTTTTATCTGCAAAATAATGCTAAAATGAAGAGATTTTAGATCGGATACGCCAAAGAGAAAATGATGTCTGAAGTTCAGTAAGTTTTGTTTATATGGCTGTAAATATGGCGTCAATTTTAAAGCATCAATGATAATTGTATTTTCATTGACAATTTTTAACTATTATTTTATGTTTCTCAACCGGCAGATGCATTTAAAAAGGTAGCTAAGTTAGCTAACTGTATAAACTAGAGAATAAAGCTAAAACAAAGTAATTAATTTTGAGAGGAACGCCAAAAAGATTTTAGGTTTTGAACACTTTTCATTGCAAATACGCGACATTGAAAAAAATTGCCTCCTAAGAAGAGAATCTTTTGTATGTTACGTAACACGCGCTCAAAACTAAATGAATATACTTTTCCATTTTGTTATGACTATATTCAATTTTTTAAATTTTTAATACGTTTCTTAAGCGGCAAACAAACTTAAAAAGTATGTTTAGTGCTTTATCTGTAAAATTCTGCTAAAATGAAGAGATTTTAGATGGTACGCCAAAGAGAAAATGATGTCTGAAGTTCAGTAACTTTTGCTTATATTGCTGAATAAATTATGGCGTCAATTTTTATAATTGATGCTGTAAAATTGACGCCATAGGCACATAGATATCTTATATACACTCTGCAATTCAAAAATTGAAGCTGTGATTGCAGTCTCAGGTCGTTCCCATGAAATGAGAGAAGATTCGTATGTTTTCTATTTCTTAAACAGGGAACTTAAACATTAAGTTAAACCTATTCCAAATACGTTTTTAAACTATTCAAATGATGAAAGTTATTGTGTTATTTTTAAGCGTTTATTAGCGAGTGGGAACGACCAACATGGCCGCCATCTATTCAAATGGGGGTATAACCGCTGGAATATTCTTGGCTTCAATTTTACTAAAAGAGATGCGCTATCTAATCTAGTGTATATAAGATATCTATGCATAGGCATATTTATAGAGCAATATAAGAAAAACTTACTGAACTTCAGACATCATTTTCTCTTTGGCGTACCATCTAAAATCTCTTCATTTCAGCGTTATTTTACAGATAAAGCACTAAATATACTTAAATTTGTTTGCCGCTTGAGAAACGTGTGAACTGAAAACAAAACTGATTTTGAATAAACCGCAAGTTAGGTATAGTTTTGAGCGCGTGTCACGTACTATGCGTGAAACCTTGCATGTTTGTTGATGTATGGGGAAGTATTAAACCAGAAAAGTCAAACAAGACAATTTAGAACGAATTTATTTCCTTTACTATAACTCAATTTAAACTACTTCTGTCATTGCTCAATTTACATTAGTTTCAAAGCAATAACCCAGCTAGGTCTACACAGGAAAACTTTAAATGAAAAATTCCTGTCTATACTTGGGAAACAAAACCACAGTCTCAACAGGAAAAAGAAAATAGTTATTTTTGAAATTAATTTAGTCTGGAATTGACCATTTGCGTAATAGACTAAATTTTGATCTAGACAAAAATTTCATCACAGCTTGAAAGAGCATCACAAAATTAGTAATATTCCAAAGGTTCGTTGCGAAATGTTGTAAAATGCGGATAATATAGCCTTGCGAAGTTTGCAATTTTCAGTCATTTTAGATTACAGACGGGAAATTGACAGCCCGATTACGCTTTGAGGCTGTCAACTTCCCGTTTGTAATCTAAAATGACTGAAAATTGCAAATTTCGCAAGGCTATATTATCCGCATTTTACAACGTTTCGCAACGAAACTTTGGAATATTACTAATTTTATGATGCTCTTTCAAGCTGTGATGAAATATTTGTCTAGACTTGTTGAGATCAATATTTTGTCTATTACGCAAATGGTCAATTGTGACAGATAATTGACAACATTTTCATTCTTAGAAAATTTAGCAAGCTAAGCCAAACAAGATTTTTTCTGTGTTAGTGTTGTGTACTCGTGAATATGATGCTTGTGATGTTAGTCTGAGTGTATATCCACACCGGACAGGCTTGCAAAATATGCCTGGCCACGGTGGGAATCGAACCTACGACCTTTGGAATATTAGCCCAATGCTCTGCCAACTGAGCTACGCGGTCAGGTCGGTTCGAGTATGTGATATTTCGGAACTGAGTCTAGTTCCTTCGATACCAATGTAATCTAGTAATCATGATTTTTCTGTGTTGGTGTAATGTACTCAGGTGAATAAGATGCTTGTGATGTTACTCTGAGTGTATATCCACACCGGGCAAGCTTGAAAAATATACCTGGCCACGGTGGGAATCGAACCTACGACCTTTGGAATACTAGCCCAATGCTCTGCCAACTGAGCTACGCGGTCAGGACGGTTCGAGTAAGTGATATTTCGGAACAGAATCTAGTTCCTTCGATACCAATGTAATCTAGTAATATGAATTTTTTTTATGATTTTTATTTAGAATACATTGGTATTGAAGGAACTAGATTCTGTTCCGAAATATCACTTACTCGAACCGTAAGTCATCAGGCATATAATATGCCTGGCGACGGTGGGAATCCAACCTATACGACCTTTGGAATACTAGCCCAATAAGACAATTAACAAGTTAGCAATACTAGTCTGGTCTTAGTTTACCAAATCCGCGTACCAACAAAATGAAAAATAGTTTCATGTAAGACAGAGCAAATCTTTGGGATTCTATTCCAAAGGAAATTATAGGGGAAGAAAAACACTTTCTTCCTTTCGAAGTAAAATCGCTGCTCACGTAGCATTGACAAAACATAGAGTGATAAGTAAATTGATGTGCCTGTAAATATTCTAATAACGTTCGTATCATGTAAATGATAGTGCAGTATTTTGCCTTATTTTTTGTAAATAGCTTTTAGTATCAGTCTTTATGGAATTTTTTCCATTTTTGCACACGCCCCTCGTGGAAATCAGCTTCGGTCGACGGTGTCAGCGTGTATAGTAAAGTTTGAGATATCTTTTTCAGGTAGTTCACACAGAGACCACGACAGCTTATTGTAGAATACTGCCTACACTGGACCACCACGTTTCAGGGCCTTTTTTAAGGATTTTCCCGTGGGGGGCATTTTTTGAAAAGGGACCTTTCTGTGAGATAATATATTACAGGGAGATAGCAATGGCTGAAGGCCACGTGTGCGCCGAACATACCATGCACGCATGAATGAGGGGGGTGTACTCCCCCAGAAAATTTTTGAAATTTGAAGCACAGAAATGCCATTTCCTGCATTCTGAGCATCCAAATGCGCTCCAAAATGTATACTAACTATACTTGTATTTGAAATAAAAGAAGGAAAAAACCCACAAAAAGTTAAAAAAAATATTAACCATAATTTATCATTACTTATTAGAGGAGGATCCCAATGGTCACGTGTGTGGGGGTGTACTCCCCCAGAAAATTTTTGAAATTTGAAACACGGAAATGCCATTTCCTGCATTCTGAGCATCCAAATTTGCTCTAAAATTTATGCTAACTATACTTGTATTTGAAATAAAAGAAGGAAAAAATGCACAAAAAGTAAAAAAGAATATTAACCGTAATTTATCATTATACTTATTAGAGGGGGATACCAATGGCCGAAGGCCACGTGTGTGGGGGCATAATCTCCAGAAAATTTTTCAAATTTGAAACCTGGAAATGCTCTTTCCTGCATTCTGAGCAACCAAAAAATAAAAAATTATTAACAATAATTTATCATTACTTAGTGGTAGAAAAACGTAACAATTTAGATCGATTTTGTTAAACAAGGACAAAGGATAAAGCCTAAAACTTACTTTCCGTTTATTTATTTGTTATTCTTCGCTGTTTTGTTGGTATAAATTTAGGAAAAAGGGACTTTTCCTGGGGGGGCAAAATGTGATTTCGTGGGGGGGCACAAGGGGGGACTGGGGGGAGGCAAATGCCCCCCCAGCTTGTATGTTAAAAAG